ATGAGAAAACCAACTCCATAAGACTGTCCTCTGACCTCCACTGTGTCCCCCCCCACAGCATGCATACTCAGGAAACAACAAAAAAATGAAACTACGCTTTGGTCAATATCACCTAAGGAGCCTTCTTCCTTTACATCTGACTTTTCTAGTCACCACTCCAGAAAGAATTTAGTTGTAAGAGTACCTTGGGTAGTTTCTGGTTTTGTGAGAATCCAACCTTAAAACTCAGTTTCAAACATGAGAATGTCCTCTAACATTTATTCTAAGCTATTTCCCACAGAAAAAAATTTTACTTTGATATATATTTTTCTTTTTCAGACAGGGTTTCACTATGTAGCCCTGACTAGCTTGGAACTCAGTATGTAGACCAGACTGGCCTTGAACTCAGAAAAATCCACCTGTATCTGCCTCCTGAGTGCTGGAAGTAAATGTGTGCCCCACCACATCTGGTTTAAGTATTTTTTTAAAGAATTTTTTTTTAAAGACAGGGTCTCACGGTGTAGCTGAGGCAGGCCTAGAATTCCTGCACCAGTTTCCTGAGTACTGGGACTATAGGCACTTAATTTTTTAATATTTTACTTACTATTATTTTACTTTATGTGTATGCGTGTATTGCCTGCATGCATATAAGTGCACCTGTGTCATGCAATGCCCATGGAGGTCAGAAAAGGGTGTTGGATTCCCCTAGAACTGGAGTTATGGATGCTCATTAGCTGCCACATGGGTGCTGGGACTCAAACCCAGGTCCTCTGCAAGAGTAGCCAGTGCTCTTAGCCCTATAGGCACTTATTAACGCCTGGCTATGAATTATTTCTCACAAACCTTTCTAATCCCTTTAGACTAAAATTCAGCAAAACAAAGTCATTGCTGATTTCTGAGCTTTCCACAAACTTTGTGATCTCTATATATGCTTAACATCAACTACTTTTTTCTGTCAGGCTAGCTCATTCATGCTTCAAAACTGCCTTCAAAACAAATCTTCAGTGAAACCTCTATCCTCGCCAGAGCAAAGCTAGGGGTCTCTGTGATGTTGCAGTCTCAACATCACACAAATGGGTCTGTGCTGTAAGAAGTTCCACACTATGCTATAATTGCTTGACTCCCTCATTCAAATACAATTCCCTTGAGTGAGGAATATATTTATACTCACCACACCCAGAACAATCCAGAACACAGTTGGTGCTTAATAAAAATTCTAAGAGTATACAGGTGGACATACAGATGGATGAATGGATGTGTCCCTTCCTTATCTGCTAACACTTCCATCCTAGCTTGAACCCAAGACACTTACATTCCCACCCTATGTGAACCAGGTTCCCAAAGCCAGAGCCCCACTCACCTGGGAGGCAGAGAAGGAGCAGAGCTGGGGACAGCACCATGGTCTTGTGTCACTGGGCGCTGTCCCCAGAAAATCCAGGTCCCCAGTGGTATCCAGGTATGTGTAGCAGAGCCCGGGGCATTGATGTTCTGCTTGTTCAAGTTTTCTCTGTGTTTTTCTCTCATCTGCTTCCTTCTCACTCTCTTGGCTAGTTCCCAGTTTAACAAAAGAGGAAGAATATCAAGAGACACTTCAGGGAATGGACTAAGGGCAGAGACAGAGATCTACCAGATGGCTCCTGCACTTAATGAGAATATTAAGTCCTCAGGACGCTGAGTCCTCGGGAGAGTCCCCTGCAGTGTGTGAAGCTCCAACAGAAGAGATCATCTGTTCCTCTCGCCTCCTTCCTGTTTAGGGAACTTCATCTCCGTAGCTTTCCCTTCTCTGTGGACGACTGAGTAGGGGGCATAAGAACCCCACCCACATACACAGAACGGAGATGAGCGATCGGTGCTTCTCTACACCACTATCCCCATGAGGCTACCTTGTTCCTCCTCCTCCACCAACCCAGCATCTCGACATCCCTCCAGACCCAACTTTCTGATTTCCCATAGGGGTGCTCTACCCAGTTATACATTATTCATCTAATTCAGAGCCAGCATCATAGTTAAAAGCACAGATTCCAGAGTCATATCAACTCAGATGCTATTCTCATCAGTTTTCATTCATTCATTCATTTGAACACTTTATCCCCAGTTGGTGGCTCTGTTTGTAGAGGTTTAGGAGGTGTGCCCTTGCTGGAGGAAGCATGTCACTGGGGGTGGGCTTTAGCCTTGCCCATTTCCCGTTTGTCTCTCTCTGCTTCCCGTGCCTGCACTCAACTTTCTGCTCTGGCCACCTCCTGCCATACCTGCCCCACCATGATAGACTCTTACACCTCGGGAAACATAAGCCCAATAAACTCTTACTTCTATAATTTGCCGTGGTCGTGGTGTTTATCACAGCAGCAGAAAAGTAACTAATACAGCGCACACACCTGGGGGACCCAGAGCAGATGATGGATCTTCTGTCATTTCTTCAGCAAAGACAAGTGGAGCCTCCAGATTTCCCCACCCAGAAGACCAAACCAATTTCCAGCCCTTTCTGTTTGGCTATCTAGTTGGTTTTGTGTGTATATGTGTGCAGCCCTGCACATCTCCCCAATTCAGTCTGAACTTTAGAATTGCTTATTTAAACCAAAATACACTGCATATATGTATGAATCTCAAATAATAAATTTTAAAAATTTTAAAACAAAGCAGATTTTCAAAATTTTTATGTGAGCTGGGCGTAGTGATACATGACTTTAATAACAGCACTTAGGAGGCAGAGGCAGACAGATCTCTGAGAGATCAAAGCCAGCCTGGTCTACAGAGTGAGTTTCACCAGCTGGGGCTACAGGAGACCCTGTCTAAAAAATATGTGCATAAGTGTTTTGCCTGTATATATACACCATGTGCATGCCTGGTGCCCATGGAAGGTAGAGAAGGGTACCAGATCTCCTGGAACTGAAGTTACAGACTATTGGTTTTTTGTTTTGGCCTTTTTAAAGACCATTATGACCTGCCATGTGGGTACTGGGAACCAAACCCAAGTCCTTTGCAAGGGTGCCAAGTGCTGATCCATCCCTTTATCCCTAAGCCAAGCAGTTTTGAGACCAAAAATCAGAAAACAGAAGTTGGGCATGGCAGTATACACCCGCAATCCCACCATTCCCAAGACTGAGACTGGAGGGCTGCTGTAAGGTCAAAGTCAGCCTGGGCTTCAAAAGTGAATTAAAGGCCAACTTAAGATGCTTTCTCAAAAAAAAAACCACAATAAATAATATCAATAATAGAAATGGGAGTTAGCATAGGCAAGTACTGCTAAAAGTAGAAAATAATAGCTGGGTGTGGTGGTGCATGCCTTTACTCCCAGCACTGGAGAGGCAGAAGCAGAAGAATCTCTGTGAGACTGAGGCCAGCCTGGTCTACATAGCGAGTTCCAGGTCAACTGGAGTTACAGGGAGACCCTGTCTCACAAACAATAAATATACACACAAATAAGACCAATGTGTTGACATTTCATTATACCTCAAATTCTATATGCAAAGGTAAGTTGAGTCAATACAGAGCCTCTCCGGTAGGCTCCAAATATGGGCATTCTCTATAAATGACAGCCTCAAGATTTTCATACTCAGTGAGTCAAAGTCAGAAACTGTAAAGGGAACTAAAAGCAAGATATGAGCAGGAGCTGATTTTTAAAGGGGAAATGACATCAGGCTACAGGAGTCAGGGGTCGGCATCTAAACAGGCACTCTGGGAGAAAAGTCAATGGCCTGGGCCCCTGCCAGCCAAAAATCAACAACAGGCTACCTGGTACAAGGTGGGATCCCCCAAGAGTCACCGAGCCATGGAGCAGAGAGTGAGGGAAGTTTGTTGAAGCATCAAGGCATCCCAAAATGCCATGAGTCAATACAAGTCTCCCATTAGAGCAAGTACTTAGAGCTTCTGAGATGGCTCAGTGGGTGAAGGTGCTTCCTGCCAAAACTGAGGACCTGAGTTCGATCCCCAGGACACACATGCTGGAAGTACAGAGCTCCTACAAGTTATCCTCTGACCCCCACACATGTGCCATGGCGTGTATGCCCCCATATATACACATAGAAACACATGCACACAAAATAAATTTAACTTTGTAGAAAGCAGAATACCAAAATTATACTACAGGGAGGTGAGAACTCGAAAGTCTCAATTTCCTGACACCTGAGGACGTTGCCCAGCCCTCTCAACAGCAGCTCTCACCTGGAATTTCCTACCAGTGTCTCCATCCCCTGCCAGGTCTCTTCCACACCCCACGACCTCTGAGCACCCTGAACCCATAGGCTCCTCAAATTCAGTGTGACCCAGGTCTAGCCCCTCACTGATACTCGCCTCATACCCAGCAACAGCCTCCACATCGAGCTGCTTCGCCCCCTCCAGAGCTTCCTCCTCCTGGGGAAGTGTGCTGGATGGCTTCAGTTGTCAACTTGACACACCTGGGTAGAGGGAACCTCAACTGAGGAATTTTCTCCTTTGTACTGACCTGTAGCCA